TTAAGCTCGCCCGGTGTGGATATACACTCAGAGTAACACCACAAATATCATATTCACCTGAGTACACTACACCAACACAGAAAAAAATTCATATTACTAGAATACATTGGTATCGAAGGAACTAGATTCTGTTCCGAAATATCACTTACTCGAACTGTCCTGACCGCGTAGCTCAGTTGGAAGAGCATTGGGCTAGTATTCCAAAGGTCGTAGGTTCGAATCCCACCGTGGCCGGGCATATTTTTCAAGCTCGCCCGGTGTGGATATGCACTCAGAGTAACATCACAAACATATTTCTAAATTATTTAAAAGAGAAATTAGAAAATTAGATTTAGAGGCTTTAATGGCTAGTGATGACTGTAGGAACTGCTCAGTATGTAGTACATAGTAGTATTGTAAATATTTTATCTGTAGGAATTTACCTACTTAGAAATTAGTTATTTATTTATGTACAGGGTGTATCAAAATAAACGCAATTCATCTTTTGTACTTAATAACTTTCGAAATACTATTTCTAGTTAAACGCTTTTAGGCTTACCGGCAAAGCCTGTTCTTTTCTCTTTCAACAAACTATTATCCTTGTCTCCAATGCTAGTAATAATTGCACAGGAAAAGATTTAGTAAAACCTATCATTTTTAGTTGCTGTTTAATTATGCAAGTTTACTATGTTTAGTATGTTATTGTTTAGTCGGTTTAAATGTTAGAATTTTCTTCTTTAAACTTTAATGTTGTCGTCACTACATCTGGAAAACCACGTAAGAACAAATTAAAAGTATTTTAAAAGAGACTAGGTTGTTTGAAAATCCTAAACGAATGCTAAAAATCATAGAATCAAAACATTCTGGTGTCTGAGCCAGAGTGTCATCGAATTGCGATGTAATGTAAACAGAAATTATAGCAAGCTGATGTCAGTCAGCTTAGATGGTCCAAGCCAAAATTATATCGCATTTGAAGTTTCAAACTGTGTTAAAAATAGTGGAAGAAAAGCCGTAATTATACTTATTGTTACAATCCATTTATTAAAATGCAACATTTTTTGTTTTAATGAAAAAATCAGTTATTTTCATGAGAATGATTTGTTATTCCATCTCAATTTTTTTAATTTCCAATCGCAATAACGTAAAGTATTATTACCCGCGAACCAATGAGTCAAATTTAAGAAACAACCTACTGTTAGAAAGCTGAATGGCTACGCTTTAAAATGAATGTAAACTTTAACGTTTTCGTCTATTATTTCTTTAGCAATTTACATTTCAGTCGAGGATTGCGCTTTTTTTTATACACCCTGTAGATAGTGTCCTTACTTAGACTTAATGGTTTTATACTGCTATCATTTTTTGATACTTTAATAAAGTTATTATTATTATTATTATTATTATTATTATTATTATTACAACATATTATATATTTTGTTGCAGAGATAAGGACTGGTCAAATCCGGAATTACTGAACATTTAAGGATACTCATTATTAATATACAAATATTAAGTAGGTTCAAGTACTCAATTATAAATTACCTAAATTAGTGAGATTTATAATTGTATATATACTGTACGTATATAATTTCAATAAAGTTTCCATTATTATTATTATTGAAGGAATTTATTTTGGCCGTCGTCGTCGTGTTGCCGTCCAACATGCTTAAGCTCGCTAACAGGTTCGCTTAGACGGGGTGTTCGCTTAATAGGGGTTTGCATCAGCAAACACAGCAGGAGGCAACGCCCAACTAACTTAATGTGACAAGTTTTATTTGCCAAGTGCACGTGTGCATATACAGCTATTTCAATTAAGGTTGTCCACGAGCAAAGTGGAATAGTCGAATACGAGCGCGAAAGGCTGCCTTTCGCGCTCGTATTCGACTATTCCGCTTTGCTCGTGGACAACCTTAATTGAAATAGCTGTACATGCAACACATTTTATACGACAAGTTTTCATGTAAAAAGTTTTATTTACTGGTGTGCACATGTCAACAAGGCTGGCCAATCACATCAAATGCTCAGATTACTTTGACAAGTTTTCTTTGTTGACCCATGCAGACGAACAAAATTCGTACTTTTACAATTTTTTCTATGACAAGTGCACTTGTTCAAAAGCTAGCGCGTGCAGACGAGCAAATAAAACTTGTCACATAAAAAACTTGTCATAGAAAACTTGCTCGTATGTATAACCGGCTTTAGGAACAGAAGTGGACAAAGGTAAACGTGTCAACGGAGGGACTTGTTATGGTGTGGAACTTCCATGCGAGTTCAAGGCTACGTTTACATTATAATGAATCAGCGGTGTCAAGAAGCACCTATCCGATACGGAATGTACAGCTTTCAGAAGCTGGGCGAAACAACATCTCTCCGTTGCAATAATTCCTCTAAAACGTCTGCGCATGCACCAAATTATGAAAATATGGCGGGTAATTTGAATATCAATTTCTAAAACAAAAACATGCTTATTAATTGGTCAAAAATTAGTAAAACAAACGAGAAAATATAGCAAATGGGTATACTAGACATTAATTGAAAGCGTCCTGGCATTTAAAGTATGGAATGAAATATAATTCATGTAAAAAATTGTTGATTTTAACGGACACGACTTCGAAAATTTTTGCAAAATTATTCAAAACAAAAATTCAAACTAAAAAGTTAAGAAAACTCTCGAAAAGTTAAGCTTCTTAACCCACCCAGATTGTAGAATAAATCCTATAGTTTAATTATTGCGAACACGAAAATTTTTTATATTTGGCGACATAGTTTTTTTTAAAGAAATGTACCTCAAACGAAAATTCGGAAATTGTCGTTGCTTAGTTGATAAACAAAATGTTTCAGACGATAAATTTGTCAACAATCACCTTTAGTTCATGTTCTTGTACAACACTATTTCTTGAACCTTCTGGCTGTATTTATTTCTAGTTTTTAGAATGACATGTTTATTTTCGCGCTCGAAATCTGGCTGTAAAGACGCACAATGAAGTCACTCCTTTTTACCGCAATTTTGAGCCTTCGGAAACGTTCGGAACAGCTTCTCATCAAGTTCGCAATACTATTACAGGTAAGGTTGACGCATGCGCAGACGTTTTTCCGCGGTGTTGCGTTTAGGTGGCTTTATTTCTGTCTGTTGCATTTCTAAATGTAACCACAGTCTCGTAGAAGTCAAATAATAGACATGAACAACATTTTAAATTCTTCGAAGAAGCGGAACGGCTCCATTTTGAGACTTGATCGTTTCAGCCCGGGCTGAGATTACACTCCGGTTTGGACTGAAATTCTAACTCATCCCGGGCTGAAATTCGCCATGTAATCGTGAAACAACTTCACCACGGTTAACCGGGTTGACATTCAGCCCGGGCTGAAAATTCTCCATGTAATCAGCCACTAAGAGAGGTTATTCGGCTCATTGGGACCTCAAGTTAAGTGTCCGCTTAATAGAGGTGTCTGACGAATAGGGGTAATGATAAAGTTATGTGGCCGCTTACAAGGGGTATCCGCTTAGGAGCAGGGCTTAATATAACGGTTGGCCACCGGCCATTAGCCGAGCATAATGCTGACATGGCCGTTTACTGATTACTCTGCACGGACATTATGGCCGACCGTTTTGTCTCATCAATTTGAATATTTCTTCCTTTATTGTTGCAAATCTTTTTAACAAAATCTGTAATCTTTAACACAGTCATGCAAACAAAGATTCCGCCTGCTAGACAATGGCAGAATCTGACTTCGTGCCGATCCACATAATAACAATGTAATCTTGCCAATTATTAAAATAATTTTTGTTCATTATTCGTCACTTTACAAACTCTGGGAGCGACTGACACTAACTTACTTTCGTCCTTACCTAAAACTGGGATACTGCTATAAGTCTATAGTACACAATGATGCTTGGTTGATAAGAGTGTAACCTGTTCATATTTTTTCGTATGTTAAGAGAAATATTTTATAAGGTCGTAGGTTCGATTCCCACCGTGATCAGGCATATTTTTCAAGCCTGCCCGGTGTGGATAATACACTCAGAGTAACATCACACAAGCATCTTATTCACCTGAGTACATTACACCAACACAAGAAAATTCTCAATATTTTATATTTTATATAGTGTTACTGAGTAAGTTGTCGTTGATATTGTGTAATTTTGTTAACCATTATGAATATGCATATGGTTTTGGACATTGGTAGTTGTTACGGTTTTGGTTTCTAGTACTGACATCTGACAATGTCCCTATTGAGAATAATGAAGTGTCCGATCATGTCCGATCAAAACATAGATACTGTAGATTGGTCTGACACAATTTCAGACCAAGTTTTCACAATTATATTCAACTCTGCTTATAGGAGGGGTGTCCGCTTAAGAGGGATGTCCGCCTAGGAGAGGTTCGACTGCACTGATTTTGTAGCACATACACATATACCTCCAAGCTTTGTGGAAAGAAATCACCTTCCAAATTCTTCGTGCGCTCTTTTATCCTACAAAAAATTAAGAAGATTAGGATTTTTGTGCTGTTCTGCGCGTTGTCATTAGTGGATTACTTTGTTAGCCAATAGGCAATTCCAGCTATAAACTAAATTATGATCTACTGTAGGCAAGAAGAACAAAATCCATCACCACAGCTAGAAAGAGCATGCTAAAATTAGTAAAATTGGCAAAGTTTGACCGCGAAATGTTGTAAAGTTGTTCTCGTTTGACTGGGGCACGAGAGTTGAGACTAACTCTCATGCAAACTCTCGCTTCTCAACTTTCATCAAATCTCGTGAGACACTTGTTCTCGTTTATGGTTTGACAGGGGCATGAGAGTTGAGACTAACTCTCATGCAAACTCCCGCTTCTCAACTCTCATCAACTCTCATGCGACTCTTGTTCTCATTTGACAGGGGCATGAGAGTTGAGAAAACTCTCATGCAAACTCTCGCTTCTAAACTCTCATCAACTCTCATGCAAACTCTCGCTTTTCAACTCTCATCAATTCTCATGCAACTCTTGTTCTCGTTTGACCGGGGCATGAGAGTTGAGAAAACTCTCATGCAAACTCTCGCTTCTCAACTTTCATCAAATCTCGTGAGACACTTGTTCTCGTTTATGGTTTGACAGGGGCATGAGAGTTGAGACTAACTCTCATGCAAACTCCCGCTTCTCAACTCTCATCAACTCTCATGCGACTCTTGTTCTCATTTGACAGGGGCATGAGAGTTGAGAAAACTCTCATGCAAACTCTCGCTTCTAAACTCTCATCAACTCTCATGCAAACTCTCGCTTTTCAACTCTCATCAATTCTCATGCAACTCTTGTTCTCGTTTGACCGGGGCATGAGAGTTGAGAAAACTCTCATGCAAACTCTCGCTTCTCAACTTTCATCAAATCTCGTGAGACACTTGTTCTCGTTTATGGTTTGACAGGGGCATGAGAGTTGAGACTAACTCTCATGCAAACTCCCGCTTCTCAACTCTCATCAACTCCCATGCGACTCTTGTTCTCATTTGACAGGGGCATGAGAGTTGAGAAAACTCTCATGCAAACTCTCGCTTCTAAACTCTCATCAACTCTCATGCAAACTCTCACTTTTCAACTCTCATCAATTCTCATGCAACTCTTGTTCTCGTTTGACCGGGGCATGCATGAGAGTTGAGAAAACTCTCATGCAAACTCTCGCTTCTAAACTCTCATCAACTCTCATGCAAACTCTCGCTTTTCAACTCTCATCAATTCTCATGCAACTCTTGTTCTCGTTTGACCGGGGGATGAGAGTTGAGAAAACTCTCATGCAAACTCTCGCTTCTCAACTTTCATCAAATCTCGTGCGACTCTTGTTCTCGTTTGACAGGGGCATGAGAGTTGAGAAAACTCTCATGCAAACTCTGGCTTCTCAACTCTCATCAAATCTCATGCGACTCTTGTTCTCGTTTGACAGGGACATGAGAGTTGAGAAAACTCTCATGCAAACTCTCGCTTCTCAACTCTCATGCAACTCTTGTTCTCGTTTGACCGGGGCATAAGAGTTGAGAAAACTCTCGTGCAAACTCTCGCTTCTAAACTCTCATCAACTCCCATGCAAACTCCCGCTTCTCACCTCTCATCAATTCTCATGCGACTCTTGTTCTCATTTGAACGGGGGATGAGAGTTGACAAAACTCGCGAGTATAATATGATTTTCGTTGCCGATTTTGAGCTTTTAACGCTCAGATAAATGGAAAGTACACAACTTTAAGCTCGATGAATGAATAACAATATTTATTGAGGGTGAACACCAATCTAACAATAAAAGGCCCTCGCTTTAACTCAAAACCGGCTTGACAATTCGCACTACTCGCTTACATGTCTTTTGCAAAATTTTAAAATTCTCAAATTTACGGCTATAAAGCCAACATTAGAGCTGTCTTGTTGACCAATGTGTAAGCTAAGAGAAAATGCCAGTTGGCAGCCGGTCGTCTACCATAGAGAAACAGCTAAAAATCTTGAAATATCGCGCCCAGATTCTGGTCTCTACATTCGACTTACGTTGTCGCAACGAACTGAACTCCATATGTAAACTGGATCTCTTTCAGGTCACCATTTTCAGGCAACAATTCGGGCGAACCAGTCGTCACATTTGCAAATATAATCTACACAAAAAAATTTAAGCCGGTTATACTGTAAGCCCCATAAAAACGAGCAGAGCAAGTTTTCCTTGGCAAGTGTGTACGGCAAAAAAATCGACAATTTTTCCTTTGCCAAAGAGCCTTGTTCCATGCCAGCTTTTGGACAAGAAAGATTTGTTCGTGTGTACGGCCCTCAAGGAAAACTTGACAAGTGTACAAAAATAATTCTATGGTTTTGGCATACAAAAGGCAGCCTTGATCAGGCCTTAAAATATCGAGAGAACCGTCTGACAAAATGTTCGATGACTTTTGAGTTTCGGTCGGACATTAGCCTGCATGGCAGGTGGTATTTTCCCAGGCTTGACCGATTTTAGGGACCGCCTGCCATGCAGGCTAGTCGGACATATGTATTGTGATGTCCGATGACTTTGAGTTCAGTTTGGCTTGGAAATAAGTATGGATGCAGACACAAAATTAATATCATTGTATCAGCACAATTTCGAAAAGTCACTTGAATCTTGGCAATGAATTTCCACAGTGAAAACCTCGCACTTGATTACACAATTCCAGTTCACTTTTCATTTAATATACGAGCCTACGTGAAGGATTTCATGGGGGTGGTGCATGAGGGAACCTTACTGCCCACTCTCCTCTGCAGTTTCCAACGCTACCATCCCAACATTACCATTATTTGAGATGGCCAAATTTGCATGTTTGCCGTTCTGTTACGTTTTACATTATCTTTTGTTTATAAATTTATTTCGGCATTTTATCAATTATATGTGACTAGACAGTTGCTGTAGCACAGTACAATCAGGGCTCAAAATAACGGCCGGTCAACGGACAATGACCGGCCAAAAATGCCGCTTGGCCGGTCACTTTTTTACCTCACCGGTCATTTGGACCGACCACATTTTCATGCCGTCCAACGTGATTGCGGATGCCTTGAAATAAAACCTGAAACTATGATGTATCGAAACAAGTTTGTAACAGTTTGTTTAACTGTTAGTGTAAGCGTATCAATGACCAGTCAAAAACAGATTTTGACCGAGCTATAATCAAGTTGACCGGTCGTTTTGACCGGATACCTCTCTCCCATTATTTTGAGCCCTGCCAGCCGGACTACGGCTGGTACTTACCTTTTGTCCATTGTGAGCAACATAGAAGTGTAAGTGAGTGAATAACTGCACACTGTGTGTATGAGGCAAAAGATGGCCTTCACTGAAATGACCAACAAACCCATGGAGACGAATATCATCTAGAAATACGAGAAACTGTATATCAAGGATGGGTATACGACAGGATTGTGGGCAGCTTTTCTTCCTAACCTGTCAGGGTGTTAGCTACAGTCAAAAATTCTGCGTTAAACGCGGTTTTCCCAATTATCTTGAGGTCGCAATTTCCCAATTTGGGTCAGCCAAAAAATAGTTATAGAAATTCAATGTTGTTAATACGCCATTAGAAACATGTTAAAAACTACATTGGCTCAAAATCACTCCCAAAATGCGGGAAATGCCATTTCAAAGACACAAATATTTTAAAAATCGAGAGGGAGCAACCGCATGTCCCCAGACCCCCACAAAGAAATGCCCGGCTTCAGGCTAAAATAAATTTCCCAATTTCAGGTAAACGCGGATTTTTTTTACTTCTGGCTAACACCCTAATTATTTGCCTGGACAGCCAGTTTTGACCATATGCCTAACGGGAGCAAGGAGAGAGATTCATTGCGCCCCTGTCCTTTACTCCCTAGCCTGTATTTTTACAGCCCTTTTAAAAGACAGACGCTGAACATACCTAAGACAAGTTCAAAGTAATAATGATCTTCTATAGCACTTCTTAAATGTTCAATATCTTCTGACGTTACGGTTTTCAAACAAGCTTCTTTATTTGCAAATGAATCTGGTGTGAACAAATACACAATAAGTTTAATGAAACTGATTAGATTCTGGGGATGTGTGGAAGATTTACCAGAGAGAAATGGAACTCTTATTAGGGCCATGAAGCAGAAAAAATGTTCTCTTGTGAAACCCAGAATATTGTACATTTGAGTCGTGTCACTTGAACTCGCAATTTTTGTGACTTGTTAATGCAGACGCCCGGCCAAAACCTGAAAATATGGACCAAAATTTGTTTGACAGCGTTCTTCCACATGTCCAGTTAACCAATTAATAGCCTTTCTCACGATGACGAATATCCGCCATTATTGGGTGGCATATAATCCTCGTTAACCAATGCAGACAATTAAAACAATGTGAAAAGCAATTGTTCAAAATAAACTAACCATTTACAAAGCATATTTGCCATCATTCGTCCAAAAAATTATAAAAAGTCGCTGTT